TATATATATATATATATATATATACCATTTTGAGCCAGGGATTTCAATTGATAGCGATAACTTTGAACGACGGGCGAAATAACGGAGGAAAGAAAAACATCAAAAAAAGAAAAGAAACAAGGGGAGACATCAACACCGTAGGAAAAAGGAAATCACGAAAAAACGAAAGAAAAAGAACTATGAGTTTGGAAAGGATGGCCCGTTCCATTGGTTCAAATCCCGTGCTACTGAAGAAAAAGCAGGAAACTGTGAATCCCCATCCGCGAGAGATCCAACAGCAGTTGTTGCAGCGATGTGTATCTCTCTTTCCCTTTTATTCCCTTCCGCCTGTTCTCAACGGCACTTCCACAGGAAGAAAAGAAAAAGAGAGAGGAACTATTGATAGTGGTAGTGGGGATAATGGAGAACATGGGGTGGGAAAGCCGTTACAACAACCGGGATTCTTACCACCACTAGTGTCTGCACGTGAACCGCTGGATATGAGACCTTCTGTTTCTGAGAAAACAGGGGAACCACGATTACAACTTATTCGTGTGATTGGCGATGGTGTTTCGGGTGTTATCTTTTTCGCTACGGAAGTTATGAATTATAAACAACTACAGCAAGTTGGACCTTCTTCTGGGAGTATGGCTAGTCGTATTGCACAGTTAAGACCAGCTACACTTCAACCATCTTGTATTATTCCAGTGAATAATGATATTGAAGAACCACGAGAACCACATCATGTCGCTATTAAATTTATTGATCTTGAGGGACAAGATGAAATGCGATGTATGCGTGCTCTTAGAGAAACAAAATATCTTCTCTCTTGCAGTTTCTTTTCCATTTTGCGGTGTTACCGAGAACGTGTAAAACGTTTATATCCAGATGAATTACCCAATAATGGTAAAAATCCTATAATTGCCGTTGCACTTGAATTAGAGTATGCAAATAATGGTGATCTTCGTGCAGAAGTTAAGACTCGTATTCAACGAAACTTTAGTTTTTTCTTAGAACGTGACGCATTATTGATTTTTTTACAGGTTCTAATGGCTGTATATTATTTACATAAACGAGGAATTATTCATCGAGATATTAAATCATCTAATGTGTTGTTATGCAGTAATGGATTAGTTAAATTAGCTGATTTTGGTCTCAGTAAACACTTAGAAGAGAATATTAGTGAAGAAAATGGTTCTTTTGTAGGTACACCATATTATCTTACACCTGAAGTATGGTTAAGGAAACCGTACGGGACAAAAGTGGATATGTTTTCCTTAGGTGTATTATTATATGAACTATTAACGTTAAAACGTCCATTTGGTGGTAAAGGTATAGAAGAAATAAAACATAATATATTGACTCAAGATCCTGATATTCCTGACTTTGTTCATCCTGATGTTGCTCAAATAATACGTCTACTACTTGAAAAAGACTCTAAACGTCGTCCTTCAGCACTAGAAGTATTATCTTTACCATTAATGAGAATGATGTTTTCTACATTTCGGCAATGTGTTCTTCGTGATGGTTTCGGTAGATCTTCTACTTCATCCTCCGAAGGAAAGTCTAGTAAAATACGAAGTGAAAGGGTTGATAATAATAATAATAATAATAATAATAATAATAATAACAATAATAGCAGCGTGACACGTACACGAGTCTGCACAGATTCACGTTCTCGTCTTGGATCAGCTGAACGGCAACAGGTTCTGTTTAATCTGGAACAAGTACAAAAAGATATCCTTAACCATATGTTAGAAACCTCTTCTAGAGTAGAAAATATATTGGGAATGGGGTCCAAATCAATTATTCCTAATGAATCTGAAAATGCGCAAGTTATCCTAGATGGAGTTCTTCAAAAAGAGAATAATGGTTATTGGAAAGGACGTTATTTGTGTCTTCAACGGACATCACTTGAGAATTCTTCTAGTTCACAGAAATCAAGTAAAACTTGTGATATTCATCTTCTTTTGGCTTTGAAAAAAGGATCTGATAGGCGTGTTCGCAAATGCATGAGTGAGTTTATTGATTGTTTCCCTGTACCACAAAGGTATACTATGGATAAGGCACCATATGTTTTCACACTGGTCGGTAAATTGGGAAATAAGGTGAATTTTCAAGCATTCTGTGAAGAAGAACGCCAGAAATGGGTAAATGCTTGTTTAGGATGTATTGAATACTACAGAAGTCACGATGCTTCAAGTGATACAGATAATAGTTCTAGTTTAAGACAAGGCGTTGGATCTAATGGTAGTTTCGCAACCCTCCAGACATGTTCAACCGTAAGCAACAGGAGTACACATGCGAGGCCAGGAACCCCTGTTTCTAATCCAACAAGCACACTGAAACGCAATTTGCCGCCTGTTCCCTGTGGTAGAATAAACAAAAACCCTAATGAAACTGTGATCTCACCCTCATGCAGTTAGAGGGTCATAATTTAAGGAGAACATCCGAAATAATCGGATGTCATTAAAACGAGATGATTTTTCTTTTCTTTTTCCTGTTGTTATTGTTGTTGTGGTGGTTACGTTCGTATTTGTATTGATTTTGGTTATCCAATGGGTTAGTTGTAAAAGTAGTTATACAGAACCCTAGTTTCTTTTCCTAGTAGTACTTCCTTTCTCTTTTTTTTTTTTGGTTACTATTATTTTGGTTTTCATCGTTTTTTTCGATTTCTTTATCTAATGTCGTGCGAAATCGGAGAATGAGAAACCAATTAACTTATCTTGTTCTATTCTCTCCTCTTACTGTGGTGGGAATAAATACTATTTTCTTCCCTTTTTGTCGCTATGTGAGATACAGTCTCCTCTGTCTGATTTTTTTTTTTCTTTTTTTTTTTATCATCTGGAGTCTTTTTTTCTTTTTCTCTTATGGTGGTAACAGTGTATTGATGTCTCTCACAACCCCACGTGAAAAAATATAAAAGAAAAAAAAAAACGGGTGTAAGAAAAAGAAGAGGTCCCAAAAGAAAAGGGGGACCTTTCACATGATGACTCATGTGCTGTCAATAATGATCTGTTCTTTTTTTTTTATATATATTTTCTTCTTACTTTTTTTTTTTGTTTTTTCTACAGTGTACTTAAGATACTTTTCCATTTTCGTTTTTTATGATGGTCTCTCTAGTCTGGTAGCAAAAAAAAAAAAGAAAGAAAAATGGGGAACTCGATCTATCTTCACCAGATTTCCTTTCATAGTTCTTCAGCTTTTATTTTTCCATCGTTTCACTATTCTGTAAATAAATAATCTCAGTCCATCACCGCCTCCATCAAAGAACAAAAAAATCAAAAAAAAAAAATGCCGGTGTAACGTTTATTTACTACTTCCTGTTATAATTTCTTACTGTTTTATATTTATTTCATTTATTATTTATTACCCTACTCAATATCATTTTTCAAGAAAACAGAGAAAAAAAAAAGAAATAATACGATCTCTCTCAATCTTTAGTGACTATAATTATCCCACATTCTTCAAAAAGAAAAATGAACTTAATGAATGATTCACCAGTGAATTTTTAAACAAAACAAAAAGCTACTCATTATCATAATCTTCTCTCTTTTCTCACTACTTGAAAATAATTGTTACATTATGGTGCTTGTCTTTAGGGCTATACTCATATATTTTCTTTTGTTTTCATACAAAAACAATTATTAACATAGTACGTAAATATGCCTTCTAACGATGCTATGATTGGTCGTGTATGTACGACCTTCAGCGATGCCTTTGCGAAGGATGAGGCGACGGCACGCGAGCAGGGAAAGAAGTATTGGATCACCCGCGTGCTGGGCTCCGGCGCCACAGGCACTGTCCTCTGCGGGAAGCGGGTGTCGGACGGGGAGTCCTTCGCAGTGAAGGTGGTGGACATGGAGGGCATGTCGGAGGCCGACAAGAACCGTGCCCAGGCAGAGGTCCATTGTCTGCTGAGCTGCGATTTCTTTTCCATTCTTAAGTGTCACGAGGACTTTGCAAAGAAGGATCCGAAGAATGAGGAGAATGTGCTGATGATAGCACTCGTACTTGATTACGCAAATGCTGGGGATCTCCGCCAGGAGATCAAGAGTCGTGCAAAGGCAGCACGTGCTTTTCGTGAACATGAAGCAGGTCTGTTGTTTATTCAGGTTCTTCTCGCCCTGCACCATGTTCACTCACGTCATATGATCCATCGTGATATCAAAACCGCAAATATTCTGCTTTGCAGCAATGGTCTTATCAAACTTGGTGATTTTGGTTTCAGCAAGATGTACTCTGCCACTGTGTCGGATGATGTTGGAAAGACCTTCTGTGGCACTCCGTACTATGTTGCACCAGAGATCTGGCGACGCAAGCCCTACAGCAAGAAAGCAGACCTGTTTTCCCTTGGAGTGCTACTGTACGAGCTACTGACCTTAAAGCGACCCTTTGATGGTGGAAATATGCAGGAAGTGATGCGGAAAACTCTAACTGGTAAGTATGATCCCCTTCCCTCAACCATTAGTCCTGAAATGACAGAAATTGTATCGTTGCTTCTTAGTGGGGATCCACGGGCTCGGCCTTCCAGTAGTAAACTATTAAATATGCCTATTTGTAAGCTGTATCTTTCTGTTGTTATTGAGATTGTAGGGGGACTTGACTCTCTGACTTCAGAAGAAAAAGAAACTATTGTAGGTCATATTAAGACAACTAAAGGAGAACTTCATGCCTTGCGGAAGTCTAAGAGTAAGCGTATGGAAGATTCTGGAGCTGTTACTGTATCAACAGCATCCGCTGTTTCTACAACATTACTCGAAGGGACATGTGGAATAAAAGATGTCGGTGATTTCACAGTGTACGAAGGTATTGTGAAGAAGCAGAGTGGAGACCACGTATGGAAGAAACGTTATATGTGCATACGTGCTGAACTTGACCCCATCGCATCTAGTGAAATGAAAAATAGGAAGTTTACCAAAATTCATCTTGTGCAAAGTAAAACAAAGGAGGCAATGGATCAGCAATGTATCGTAACTTCCTTTACTGAGCTTGAAGACGTGTTTCCAGTTCCAAGTAAATACACTGGCTCTGGAGGACAGCACGTATTTGCAGTGGCTTTTAAGACCGGAAAACGTTTACTCTTTGCAGCTCGAGATGAAATTCAGAGAGATGAATGGATGGAGAAAATGCAGGAAGCATTGGGTATAGGCGATGAGGAGTAAAACAATATTTTTGGAAAGTTATCCATTTTTTTTTTTTTTTCTGTGTACCATGTGAGTATCATTTTTTTTTTCTTTGTTTTCTTCTCCTCTCTTATTGTTTCATATATTTTTTGTCATTATAATATAGTTATTTAAAGATGAATAACATGGTTTTAAATTCATGTTTTCTTCTTCGTATTTTTAATACTATCTGTTTATCATTAGAGTACCAATTGTGAGGTTTCTTATTTCCCTTGTATGTATTTCTTTCTTCTTTTTTTATTTTTTAAATAGTTTTATCTACTTTACAAATATAATTTGTGACTTTTTATAGGAATACGTAAATATGCCTTCTAACGATGCTATGATTGGTCGTGTATGTACGACCTTCAGCGATGCCTTTGCGAAGGATGAGGCGACGGCACGCGAGCAGGGAAAGAAGTATTGGATCACCCGCGTGCTGGGCTCCGGCGCCACGGGCACTGTCCTCTGCGGGAAGCGGGTGTCGGACGGGGAGTCCTTCGCAGTGAAGGTGGTGGACATGGAGGGCATGTCGGAGGCCGACAAGAACCGTGCCCAGGCAGAGGTCCATTGTCTGCTGAGCTGCGATCTCTTTTCCATTCTTAAGTGTCACGAGGACTTTGCAAAGAAGGATCCGAAGAATGAGGAGAATGTGCTGATGATAGCACTCGTACTTGATTACGCAAATGCTGGAGATCTCCGCCAGGAGATCAAGAGTCGTGCAAAAACTGCGCGTGCTTTTCGTGAACATGAAGCAGGTCTGTTGTTTATTCAGTTGCTTCTCGCCCTGCACCATGTTCACTCACGTCATATGATCCATCGTGATATCAAAACCGCAAATATTCTGCTTTGCAGCAATGGTCTTATCAAACTTGGTGATTTTGGTTTCAGCAAGATGTACTCTGCCACTGTGTCGGATGATGTTGGAAAGACCTTCTGTGGCACTCCGTACTATGTTGCACCAGAGATCTGGCGACGCAAGCCCTACAGCAAGAAAGCAGACCTGTTTTCCCTTGGAGTGTTACTGTACGAGCTACTGACCTTAAAGCGACCCTTTGATGGTGAAAATATGCAGGATGTGATGCAGAAAACTCTAACTGGTAAGTATGATCCCCTTCCCTCAACCATTAGTCCTGAAATGACAGAAATTGTATCGTTGCTTCTTAGTGGGGATCCACGGGCTCGGCCTTCCAGTAGTAAACTATTAAATATGCCTATTTGTAAATTGTTTATGTCTGGTTTACTTGAAATTGTACAAACACAACCGTCATTTAATGGCCCACTGCGTGAGGTGATATCAACGCAGATTCAAAACGTGAAACAGCTTCTCAGAACGGAGAAACGCGCTATTGTCAGACAGATGGATGACTCGCAAGCTGCTTCTTTTGCGGCGTCTACGACCTTCCTTGAAGGGGCTAAACCACTGGAGGGGGTGGGTGACCTTACGCTGTACGAAGGTATTGTGAAGAAGCAGAGTGGAGACCTGGCGTGGAAACGACGATATCTGTGTATTCTTGGAGTACTGGAAGACGGGGAAAAGCTCAATGGTAATAAGGTGCCCAAATTTAAGAGTTTGAATTTGGTTCTTGCTGTGACAAAAGATTCTATGCAGCAACAATGTATTGCTACTCCTTTTACTGAGCTTGAAGACGTGTTTCCGGTTCCAAGTAAATACACTGGCTCTGGAGGACAGCACGTATTTGCAGTGGCTTTTAAAACCGGAAAACGTTTACTGTTTCAAGTTAGAGGTGAACCGGAGCGAGATGAATGGATGGAGAAAATTCAGCAGGCATTGGGAATTGATGATTGTGAATAGAAGTTTGGTATGATTGTGCAATTAGAAGTGTTGTTTCTTAGATTTTTTTCTTTTTTTATCTTCCGTATATCCATCGTCTCTTTTTCCTGCTGAAGAATTTTTCTGAGGTTTGCTCTATATGTGAATTTACTTTTAAAATATTTATTTTTACGCAGCAATTTTGCGTTTTTTTGTTATTTTTTATTTTTCTTATTTTTGTTGTTTGGTCAACCACTTTCTTTTCTTTAATAATGACAATGTTTGCTTTTTCTTCCTCAGAAAGCTAGTAGGGGAGTGATTGATTTTTTATGTTTCCCTTATTGAACACACTGCCGTAATCTGGGCAAGGATGTGTGTTGCTATTTTTATGCTGATTTCCTTAAGTGGCTTTCTTGTATGGATAATACATGTTTTAGTACGATAACTTGTTATTCTGTTTGCTGTTATGCGTTTAATTATGCTATTGTTGTTTCTTTTAATATCATTTTTCGTTTTGTATTCACTTCTTTTATTATTTAAGCAGTATTGCCATACTTTGTAAAGGTTAGTGAAGATGTCTTCTAACGATGCTATGATT